CCAGTTGACAGTGGGATCCAGCCAGAAGGAGTACAAGGTTGGAGCCAGCATGACGAAAGGAGGAACGAACTTGGTGATAACTCCTTCATAGATCGGGCGCTGCACTGCGATACTGAATGTGAACCTGGAGAAAGGTAATGTTGCTTGAGCTGCTCTGCTCGTCGCTGCTCGCTCCTGGATATACCTTTGTGCTGACCTAAACAAAAGATCAGCCTGCTCACGGCAAACTGTACCACCTTCCAGATGCCCGAGGTGGACGAGGAGGACGAAGAGAAGTCGGAGGCTGAGGAGGACGAGGAGGACGAGGAGGACGAGGAGGAAGAGGAGGACGAGGAGGACGAGGAGGACGAGGAGGACGAGGAGGACGAGGAGGACGAGGAGGAGGACGAGGAAGACATGGAATGATTTGATGGAGGGGATGAAGATGATTTGTCATCATCGCTGCTGCTGCCGCGAGGGTGATCAAGAGGTTGATTAGGAGCCGATACGGTTGGGACCCGTCCGATTCTTGGTGTACGACAGCATGTTGGCGAGGAGATGTTGAGATGAGGAGAGAAGATGAGCTAACAAAGAGATGAAGGAGAGAGAAGAAGGGAGAAAGCACATGAGCGCACTGATCTCCTTCTGAGGAGGAGACCTGAGGACCTGTTGCAGAAGAAGCACTTAAATCTTGATGAACAGGTGTCACGATGGTGAGGAAGCCTCGAGCGAAGGGCAGGAGCAAGCGTCTGCTCTGACGTCCTGGAGAAGGAGGAGGAGGAAGAAGAGGAAGTTGAGAGATGGAGAACGATAGCGGGCTCATCGTCGAGCTGCCAGACGGGAAACTCTTTCGGCTGTCGAATGCCAACGGGCGGGTGGTGGAGATGCCCAATGGCAGCATCGTGGAGATGGTGGACGGGCAGGTGGTGGAGATGTCCAACGGGCAGCAGCTGGAGATGGTGGAAGGGAATCTGGTCGAGCTGCGTCCGGTCTCCCTCCTCCTTGAGGACGGCGACTGTGTTGGCCATCGCCTCCTCGACCTCGAGACCAGTCGCAGGGTCATCATCGAGGCCCGCGGGCCCCCCTTGGTCAAGGCAGCCGGCCGCCCTCAGGCTCGTCAGCCCCTGCTGGAGGAGCAGGAGCTTCCTGCCTCCGACAAGCGGCAGCTAGCGATGCAGGAGGAGAGGCTGCGACGGCATCAGCTGCATGTGATGAACAGAGAGGAGCAGCTAGCGCAGCAGGCGCAGCAACTGGGCGAGAAGGACAAGGCGATGACGAGCAAGCAGCAGCAGCTGGTGCAGCAGCACCAGAGCCTAAAGGCGCAGGAGGAGGAGTTGAAGACGAAACGCTCCCAGCTGATGGCCGACCAGGAGGCGCTTGACAAGAGAAGCGCTGCCCTCGATCAGCTGGAGCAAGAGCTGAAGGCTCGTGAAGCCAAGCTGATGCAGCAACAACAGGAGGTGAGGGCCATGCCTGCATCTCCTCCTCCTCCTCACGCTCCTCCTCATCCTCCTCTTGACATTATGGCAGATCCACAAGTGGAGGGATCACTTGAAGCAACAGGATATGGAGCTGAGAGCACGGGAGGCTGCGATCGAAGCCAAGGGCGGGTCAACAAGCTCCAAGGAGAGCAAGGGCGGGTCAACAAGCTCCAAGGAGAGCAAGGAGGAGGGGAAGGGGGGAGGGGCAGAGCCGAAGTCGGCCATCGAGAGCATAGAAGCAGGGAGGATCAAGTTCAGCGATATCACGCTCGGTGGTCTGCTGGGAAGTGGAAGTTTCGCCGATGTTTTCCGGTGAGCTGAAGAGCAAGAGGGGAGAGGCAAGAGGGGGACGAGGACGAGGACGAGGACGAGGACGAGGACGAGGACGAGGACGAGGACGAGGACGAGGACGAGGAGGGAGTGACGTTGCCTTTTGCAGTGGGGAGTGGCGGGTGGCGTGTGCGGTGAAGAAGATGAAGGGGAGGATCAGCAAGGAGCAGATGACGGAGTTCGTGCGGGAGGGAGAAATGATGCGCTCCTTGAAGCACCCGGGGATCGTGAAGCTGCTGGGCGTGAGCGTGGAGGGAGGAAGCTTCTACCTGGTGCAGGAGATGGTGACGGGGCACGGCAACCTCTTCGACTACCTGCACAAGAAGAAGTGCCGGCTGACCTACTGGCAGCTCCTCCAGGTCTCCTCCGGCATCAGCGAGGCCATGGCGTACCTCCACGAGCGCCTCATCGTCCACCGCGATCTGAAGCCGCAGAACTGCCTGCTCGTCAACGACCGCGGGCTCGTCAAGCTCTGCGACTTCGGACTCGCGCGCCTACGCCATGCCGCCTTCGTAGAGACGAAGAGCAACACGGCAGGGACACCCGCGTATCAGGTGAGGCATGGCGGGGGGAGGGGGGGGGCAAGTCAACGAGGAGGAATGGGAGGGCGATGGGGGAGAGGAGGAGGAAGCCTAAGACTGTCACAGGCTCCGGAGATGCTGCGAGACGAGCCGATCTCTGAGAAGGTGCGGGGCGAAGAGATTGGGGAGGGGGAGGAGGGGGGAGAGACTGGTGCCGTGGTCGACCTCGATGTTTGCGGGCTGACGACTGCTGGGGTTCAGGTGGACCTGTACGGGTTCGGGGTGATGCTGTGGGAGATGGCGACGGGGAACCTGCCATGGTCGGACAAGACCTACCACCAGATGATTCACCTCGTCGCCGTCCTCCACCATCGGCCTCCCATCCCCCCGACCCTCCCCAAGGACCTCGTGGGCGTGCTGGAGAGCTGCTGGCACCGTCAGCCGGAGAAGCGACCGCCGTTCCATGACCTTCTCCTCCTCTTCCGCGACCTCTCTCGCTCCCTGCCCCCTGACATCCCCAAGAACCCCACAGCCTCCTCCTCTTCCGCTGCCACCGCCATGCCCTCGCCCGCCCGCCCGCCCCCCATTCAGGTCAGTCAACCCCCCCCTCCTTCCCTCATCCTCTGCCTCACTTCCTTGCCAGCATCCCATCCAGCTGCAGCAGGGCAAGACCCAACCCATTGGCCCCCAGCAGGTCGACCCTCCTCCTCCCCTTGCTGCCTCCTCACTCCTTCGCAGCCTCATCATTTCGTGCCGCCTGTCGTCTACGGAGGTTTCCAGCCCTCCTGGTGAACTGAAAGCAGGAGGAGGAGGAGGAGGAGGAGGATCAAGTTTTTGTTAACGTTGACAAAGAGAGTGAAGAGAGACGAGCATCAAGGGTCTAGTACGACGAGGGGGAGGAGAGGAGGGAGGGAACGCGGGCAGCGGCTGCTGCTGCCTTGGGGGCGAGGCGATCGAGAAGCGACTCCGACCAAGAGAGCGCAGGAGACTCGAGGATGAGCGACAGGACGCGAGCGACTGCAGGGAGCTGAAGGCGACGAGTGAGCAACGAGAGAGAAGAGGAAGAGAGCGACCTCGAGCAGTCCGAGGACATGCAGCGCCTTGAAGGGAAGAGTCTCCGCAGCTCCCAACATGGTGCTGCAAGCTAGTCAGCGATCACAAGGCGAGGAACCAGAGAGGAAAGTGTCGAGGGAAGCAAGCAAGGCAGGTAGGAAGGAAGGGAGGAGAGAGGGAGGGAACCTGGCAGTGGGTCCGACGACTCCGTCAACGAGGATGCGGTCATTGGCAGTGAGAACGTAACGAACTTGCGAAGAGAAGAGCGAAGAACCCACAACCTGGAGGAAGAAAATGACCAAGAGAAAGAGGAAGAGGAGCAGAGGCAGGAGACTTGCCGTAACGGGAGCAGCTTTGCCTCCCTTCATGACCAAGATTCGATCTCCTTGCTTGATGTCTCGCGCCCTCACTCGACGAGCCTGCGAGAAGCTCTCGTCCTTGTCCGCCGCAAGCAGCAGAGGATGAGTGTCGGTGAGCGAGACTTCTCCTTTCTCTCCCTCCCCTCCAAACTTCACCCTGCACGTGCGTTAGACTTGCGACGGGGAAAACGCGAAAAGTGGAGAAGAAGGATGCTTGTCGGGGAGTAGGCGAGGAATGATCAGCAGCAGCAGCAGCAGCAGCAGGAGACTACAAGTTAACCTCCGCATCTTGGTGTCCTCTTTGTGATCGTGAATAAAAATGACGGGCGACCAGACAAACAAACCTGCGAGTTCAGGCAAAAGAGGTGAGACAGGCTGAGGCGAAGAGAGGGGAAGGAGATGAAGCTACCGTAGTCATCAGCTGAGGCCACCTCATCTCCCAGCTTCAGGTCCAGCAGCCTCATGTCTCCCTTGCCTCTCACGGTCACGGTTGACATCTGTCACGGGTCAAACCACTTGAGCTCATCTCCAGCTGACGCCTCACCGCGTCAAAGCAGCCGCTCGTCCTCATCTTCTCGCAACCCTGACACAACCAGAAGTCACAAGGACAGCACAGACATCGACCACTCCTCTTCCTCCTCCTCCTGCTCCTCCTCCTCCTCCTCCTCATCCTCCTCCTGCTCCTCCTCCTCCTCCTCCTCCTCCTCGTGCTCCTGCTCCTGCTGCTGCTCCCCTTGCTGCTTCACCTTCTCCTTCCCTTCCGTACTCTCCACTTCCACTTCTCCCCTCTCACCTGGCAGAAATTTCCTTCGATGTTTGCGGGATCCTGTCATCTTCTCTCAGTTTCCAGCTTCTTTGCCTCATCCTCCTGTCACTTCACTTCCGACGTATCCGTGCGGGACCACGTAGTCATGCCCCTAGCGCTTCGTCACCTTCCAGCTGACCCTCCAGCTTATCTCGCGCTCCCTCACCTTCCCGCCCTCGCGGCACATGGAGGGAAACTCGCGATCGACGTCGAGGCAGAGGGGCTCAGCGATGTTCCTCTCGCACTTGTAGTACTGCAGCAGAGAGACGCGTCACAGACAACAGGAGAGAGGAAGAGAACGAGGAGAGGGAGGCAAGGACTGAGGGAGAGCGACGGGATGAGTGAAGGCAGGAGGAGGAGGAGGGCTGAGACATACCTCCTGCTCGTTGAAGTACAAGGACGAGCACGTGCTCGAGATCTCTGACGCCACAGCCTGCGTTGAGGTTAAGGGAGGGAGGGGAGCGGAGGAGGAAGGGGGGGGGCGAGAGATTGTGATGATGTCCCACCAAGATGTTCTTTGCCAGCGGTTCGCATCCCTGCCACTTGCCTTTGCAAACAGACCTGAGGGAGGTGAGAAGCCGCGAGAGGAGGAGGAAGAAGCAAAATCAAGCAAGGAAGAGGGAGGGAGAGAGGGAGGTTACATGTCGGTTATGTTGGCTTCAGCGAGCATGATGCGATGAAGGGAGTGAAGGAGTTGAGCTTTGGAAGCCTTCGCGACCTTCTTGGCCGCCTAAGGCATCGCTGTCATGACGTGACGATCTCGCGGGCCTTATACTTCACCTGCTTCTCAAGCTGCTGCACCCGCAGCATGGGAATGTCAAGCGCCACAGATACTTGTCTTGGGACGTTGCGAAGAATGCTGGAGGTAAGTGAGACGCGGAAGAGGAAGAGGGAGAGAGAACAAGCAGAGGAAGAAGGGAGGGAGGAACAACCTGTCGAAGGGACGATCTTGTCGCCCTCGCTGATGCTTCACAACGACTTTACGCTGCTACTTAAGTCAGCACTGGGATGACTAGCAAGACTAACAAGAGTTTAAAACAGAAGTGTTGCTACCTTGTGTTGCTCCATCCACGCTGAAGTTCCTTTGCCTTCCCGAGCCCACGAGCTCCTGCGCGAACAAGAAGGAGAAGCGTGAGCGAAGAAGCAGAGGAGCTCGTGCTCACCTGGGGGGATCACGAGGAGAAGGACCATCGATGTCCGCCAGCTCTCTGAGAATGCAACGAGTGGGCCAGGGAAGGCGGAGAAAGAGAAGAAGCCAAAAGGAACAAGAGGGGGGAAGGAGGAGGGGAGGAGGGGAGAAACTCACGTCTGCGAGGAAGGGAACTGATAGATCGCACATGCCACAAGTACTGCAGCCATTCCATGCATGAGAAGAGAACAATATCTCGCTCCTCCTCCACCTCTATCCTATCGCTCTGCTCTCTACTCATCCACCTCGAGCTTTCTTCCTTCTCGAACTCTCTCCCATATGATCTGACATTCGCACATCTATCTCCCCATCCTCTTCCTCCTCGTGCTCGCTCTCGCGTCTCCTCCTCTCCCTCCCCTCTCGCCTCACCTGCCGCCAACACCGCCGGGAGCCACCATCGCACCATCTTGACCCTTCGAGCCTCTGGGATGGGTGGGGATGAGGGGTACTTGGTGAGGGGATGAGGGCAGGGATGAGGGGGGATGAGGGGCTCTATGGGGCTATGTGCGAGGAAAGGACACCTGGCATGGCAGAACATGCGAATGCGACGAGCAGGGGATGAGGGAAGGGAAGGGGGGGAGGAGAGGGAGGAGGAGAGAGACAGAGAGACGCAGAAAGAGATAGAGAGAGGACAGGGAGAGGGGAGAAAGAGAGGCGAGAGACGCGATCATAAGGAGTGACGAAGAAAGAATGTTGAAGAAGGGAAACCGGGAAGGAATGGAGGCAGGGATGAAGGGGGGAGAGGAAAATTTAAACCAGCATGATAAGATGAAACATCAAAGACAGAGAAGGACTCAAGGAAGCAAGCGAGAAGAAACTACAAAAGATATGCCAGATTCCAAAAAAACTTCCCAGGAAGAGAACTAGAGGAGTTTGGAAGCTTGGAGTGAGCGTCTTCGCCAAAGAATCTGACTCATGCGGATTATTTTATTTCGACGAATGTTCAAGTCAATGACTATGGCATGTTTAAATGCTCTGTGGCTGAAAGGTTTTTTGTGTGATAGACGATGGCTACGCCCATTCCCGCGCTTGAGACACAAAAAGCGTGCCATTCGCACCTTGCTGCGATGTATGACAAGATTCAAAGCTCTGCGTCCAACAAGCTATGGCATCAAGCGACCCTTGCACTGGAGGAGCTCTGCAGAGACCCATGCTTCTCCGAGGAGGTAGAGTCCTGTTTGCGTGAAGAGATGTTCTTGTTCTCAGCCTGTGTCGTAGGGCAACAAGGATCTGATCACACTTTACAACGAGGTTGTGGCGGACCAGGTAATTTGACAAGTCAATGTCTTTGCATGCAATGACCATCCAACAGCCCTCTTCAGCACCATGGACGGGGTTTGCGTCGAAGATGAACCCTGTGAAGCATGCTTCGTTGTGCATAAGGGTGTCTTTGCAATATGGAGACTCCGAGGAAGGCATCAAGTCAGCCATCGCATACCTCGAACAGGTTGGAACGAGCCTCGAATCCGACAAAGAAGCGTATCTTCTAGTGCGGTTAGAGATCTCACGCCGCTTCTTGCAATCTGGAAAAATAGATACTGCAAAGAGCAAACTCGAGGTATGTGGAGATGCCTTGAAGGGAACTAATGAGGGAGCAATAGGAGTGCAAGGATGTTCTTGTAGACTTTGCTGAGGTCGATGCGAATGTGAACTCATCATTTTATCTTGTGTCTTCATTGCTACACAAGGTTACGGATCCTAGACTGGTTTACTTCCATGTCGTTGATCGTATATCAGACTCTCGGCGATGCTGGGGAATTTTACAAGAGTTCTTTGTTGTACCTTGCATACACACCCTTGGAGTCACTGTCGGAAGAGAAGCGACAAGTGCGTGGACATGTTTTAGTTCAAGTTCTTCGGGTTTTATGATTTCGTGAATACTGTAGGCGTTGGCGTTCGATCTGGGATTAGCAGCAATCTGCGCAGAGAAGATTTATCAGGTCAGCCATCCCCAATGACTTCCGCAAGAGTGACGGCCTCGACTTAGTTCGGCGAATTATTGTTGCATCCCATACTCCAAAGCCTTAAGGCAAACTCTTGTTTGCTTATTCAAAGCCTGTTGGTCAACTGCCTTGGCAGGGCACAGCTGGAGAATGGATGGTTGACCTTCTTCATACCTTCAACAAGGGCGACATTGCTGAATTTGAGAGGGTTATAGGAACCAATGACGTCATTGGAACTGACGTCGAATCAGGTTTCCACAGAGAATGCAGCAGCAATCCAGCAGCAACCTGCTCTTATCGGAAATGCGCAGGTGAAATGATGATCCTTCTAGCTGACCTTTGTCTGATATCTTTGGGTCAGCGCTTGCGCGAGAAAATCCGCATCTTTGCGCTGTTAGAGCTTTTGAGGCAACATATGGTGCGTGGTTCCGAGTAGCTTTGACACTTCGGTGCAGAGACATACCAGCAGATTCGAGAACGGTTTCATTCGCGCCTATTGGTAACTTTCACTCATGTGACCCTCCCCGCGTTTCTGAGCCAGTTGAAAGCTGAACGTACAAAACTTCCGGAAGATGAAGTCGAGCTTCTGGTCATGAAAAGCTTGTCACTTGGAATCGTGAAGGTGCTCTATGTTGTGTTAGTGATGCACTGAGGTGACTACGGTGTAGGGAACAATTTCGGGCGTGGAGAACACATTCTTGGTCACATGGGTTCAGGTGTGGAAAGCAAACTTGATTCCTTATCTATTTAGCCATTCGTTTCTCATTGCTTGTCATGTCGTAATTTGATTCTTCCCAATACAGCCTCGTGTGGTTGACAAAGAAGCCATCAAAAAGCATTTGGTGAAGCTCTCGGATTGGATGGAAAAGGTTTGTTTGGGCTCGTTTGGCCATCAAACAATTGTGTTCAAACCGTGTTGCAGGTTCAAAGAACGTCCGAATTCCTTGCAACTGAAACTCCGGAGATAGTCGCTTAATTGCTCAAATTTTGTAGTTGTGAATGCAGAAACATCCAAACGTAAATCCAACAGCGAGCTCCTCCGTCGAATACCCAACCAAAGCGACAAATGTTCATGCTGAATCATTTACTGTCCATGCAAGGATAGTCATCACGGCTAAAGGCTTCAATGAAGCTCAACCAGCAACGCTCCATGGCTTTCTGCCTCATATTTCAGACATGCGCGATGGCTCGAATGCTCACCTGAATTTTGGTATCCACTTGGCATCGTTGCCTTTTCTGTAGTATGGACTGTGCATCCTATGGATATTCATGCAAACGCAAACCGTGAGAAACAAACATCACCTCAAAAGTCAAGTTTTTCGGAAGGTAGAATGAAAGGATTTTGCTCCATGCATTACACAGCCTTATCGTATTGTTGTTTGAAAGTTCTCCTTTCAGCAATGAAACGATGCATTGTGACATACTTTCACAGATTTGATCAGAGCTAAAAAGGGCTGGTCCTCCGCTGTCAACCACAAAGCACACGATCCAAGCGAAGTGGTCTCCAAGCACGTGGTCCTTTGGCGCCTGCTCATTGCCCTCACTCACTCTTTTCACGCTCGCTTGTACTTTCTGAAGACAACATTGCATCCACTCAAAAATTTCAAACTTTGTTAAATTGTTAAGAACAGATCGAAAACCAGTCGAAAAACTGCTCAATGTTTGAAGGAGGGAGGATGATTCGGCAATGACTTTGCTATTACCCATAATCATTTGCTCGATAGTAAATTTGACCATTCCATCTATGATGCTATCGTTTGCAATACTGTTTACAATTGAAGATATCTCTTGTTGTAAACCAGGCGAGCTCATGATTTCTGCCAACAGTATAACTGCACAGCTTGCAAATTCGGTCTTTGATGATCTTGATTCTCTGATGTGATGTAATTCTATCAAGGTTCTGATGTAAACTTCAATTTCTGTGGCGTTGTCAAGAACATTTGGATACTGAATGTGATCATGAGTAGAAAGTACAGGATCTTGCTCGTTATACCCGACCTTGAAGCGAGAGTTTGAGGGATGCCCACTAGGCGTTTCTTGCTTGCATGAATCCTCCTCGGACTGAAAACATGGTAATGTTGTTACGCATTCAGTCTTTGAGAGAATGGTGTTGACTTCATGCAGGCTAGCAGCACCAAAATCTGGCAAGTTGGAAGCTTGAAAGTTATCTTCCTCATGTGCTTTTGTGAGTTGCACAGTTTGACACAACGGGTCTTCTTCGATGATCTCGTAGCAGAACTTGTTCATCTGTTGCTATACGTGCGTCTTCATTGATTGTGCACTAAGGAGCTCTTGTTCTTGCAACAAGGGTAAGACATACGGATCCTTCGACGATCATTACGACATCTGGCAAAAAAAAATGGGACAAGTCATATGGCTGGCCCATACACACACTGTTGACTCATTTAGTTTCATCTGTCGTCTTGTCCCTCACCCTGTGCCCTTCGTCTTTCATTTTTCGCATGGGGCTTGCATGAAATAATCGCCTATCCGGCATGTCCCAGCATTGGTCTCAACCCCACAAACTTGCATTTTCCCGCCAAACAAAAGAAGTGGGAGGTCCTACCCACCCCCTGAATTCCATCTTATGACCCCCCCTACTCCCATTCTCCACCCTCCTCCTGCTCACTGACCCATATCCGCACACCCACCCGTCAGGGTACACCAGTACGGTACCTGGTACCCCACCCCACTCTGCCCCACCCCACCCTCCATGAGTCAATGGGTTGCGTCCCTACTGTCTGGACTGTACAACCCCACCCTCACATAGGGTTCTCATACAGCAGCACCCTACCCCCAACTTTAATCGATTTACTGAAGAAAAGGACCCACCCTGTCATATGCATACCCCACCCTGCATCGATCTGGTAGCAAAGCGACCCCTTTCCTTCTATCACCCCACATTGTGACCTAATTTGAGGGGGTAGGACTTTGAAAATGCAGGGTTGACGGATGATCATCAGGATCCCACCCCACGACCAGAAATAAGGGGTGGTATGCGAGTGTGAAGAGGGTAGGGGTAGGCATAAACTGGTACTGAAAGAAGACTGTCGAGGTACCATAGAGGGGGTGGGTGATCAGCTGTTGGGGTAAGAGAAGAGGGATGGGGGGTAGAGGTGAGGACGGGGTGGGGTTGACCCGAAGGTTTGGTCATGCACGAGGGTCGCAGAGGAGGGAGGAGGAGCGAGGGGGGAGGGGAAGGTGAATGAAGAGGAGGGGGACAGGAAAGGACAGTGATGATAGGATGCAATGATGTTCAGTAGAGAAGAAGGCAAGATGAGGGTGTTAACGAGGAGATAAGCTTGAAAAAGAGCACACAAGGTATGGCAAGTGTTGAGCGGTAAAGGCGAACGAGAGGAGCTAACCAGAGCTTGAGGGAAACGACGAAGGACAAGACAGATAGAGGTAGACGATCCAATGAACATAGAAGGGAAGTGAGGGAGGTTGAAGAATGAAAGTAGGAGGACCACGAGATGAGACCGTCCACGCAGAGCGAGTTAAGACGCTAGAGAAATCTTATGTCGCTCCTGTCACACACTTGTGCTGAAGATATGAATTCTTTTGACAAGAATCATACACGTGGCAAAGGAGAAGTGCACTAGGCCTGTTGTCGGCGTATGTTCGTGACAACGGAGCTGGGGTTGTGACTCTTGGATTCTTGCAGGTCAATACTGGTAGTGTCAGACCCCTTGAGCATCTCATATCAGATCAGAACCATTTCTCTCCTAGTTTTGCACGTCAAGGTCTCAGAACTCAAGCGAGCATGATATAGATGTCTCCATATCTTCCAAGCTTTGGCCTGCTTTTGCGAAGAATGGGTAGGCATGACCTGAATATCGAAGCTACAAGCGATAAGGTTGACTCACACCTCCTTCCGACAAGCTCTGTCAGAAGCTTTGGAAATTTTCGCTGGACATATGACGACCGTGCATTTGATCGAATGCTGAGGCTGATCTTCCGTTTTACTCTCATCACTGTTGCAATTGCACACGTTGAAATCGATTCAAATTATATGCAAAAGGGCATTAATCATCTTCCAAACTGCTGTTTTCTCACGCGCCCAGCTTCAAGGCTTGATTGCCGGTGAGCAATCATGAAAATTTGGCTCTCTCACACTGAGAACTCTCTTTTAGAATTCTTCGTCGTCTACAATTGCAATCGAGGGACCTTCAAAAAACGTTCTGAAATGCCTGTAGAGCATGACTTATTCTAATCTCAACCTCAGAAGAATTTCCCTTCGTGGAGGATCGCAGGTAGAAGAAGTTGTGGTAAGCATTGTGCGATTGGTCATCTTTGGAAGAGAAACATAACGAGTTTTTGTAGGAGGAACAAACTAGGGTTGCAGAGAACGGCAAGTTCGCTCGAAATTGGCAGGTGTGCCATTTCACCATTCCTTACAAATTTCCTTACGCTTGTATAAGGATCACATCGGAATCATTGAAGGGAAGCACAAGTTGGTAATTCATTATGTTTCGCTTATTGGTCCTCCTTGAGCTACGAACTACAGTCACTTGAAAGGGACCAATGTGACTTTGAAGACGTTTCAAGAGGTATGCCTTGTTTTGTGCAGCATCTTCTACGTCACTATATCAACTATGTTATGAAATACCCTTATTTGCCTTCAATCGAACAGAAAATGGTGTGGGAAAGGAAGAAAATGAGGAACATACAATGCAATCTGATTTTGGCTTGGGACCAAACAACCAGAGGTGAGTAAGATGAGATATCTTGTTATAAGTTGCATCCGTCTGCGTTCTTTGTGATAGGACTATTTGAAATTTGAATCCACAGAAATTCTGGTTCCGACAAGGCTCTTCCGCAAATGAATGTATTTCTTTTTTCAGCAAACCATGAAATGGATGTAATCATCTCGAACAGGATTCAGAAGACATGCCCGCGGGAAACATAGTCTCTGAGGTTATGGCAATGAAATTTGACCATTTGGTATCTGAGATCTGAATTCAAAGAGTGCCGATGATTCCCTGGGTCATCGAGATGAAAATTTGCCAAATTCTGAGAACTCAGGGAATTCTGAGGCAAGCTAAAATTTTAGTATTCGTTTCGAGACGACCTGACTGATTTGATATGTGTACTTCCTGCTTGTAGTGGAGTGGAGATCACCAAGATCGAGGTAGCGGCAGCTGATTCCAACAATTCTTCTCGCACCTTGATTGGGACTTCCAGATATCTTTTCAAAGTCTAGGAATCTATGGCATGGCACCGACATGACAAATGATGAAGATTTTGACTTTGAAGTTTGTTTTGAAACTTGAGTAGAAGAGAATTGATATTAGTTTACAGCTCAAAAATGGGACTGAACCTGATTGCGAATATGAAAGACCTTTGCATTGGTGATGCTAAAGAACATCTTTGCCACATTTTGCTGCGTTGTCAGTTTTTGAAGATTTGTGGGCTTGCAGGCCGGATTCAAGGATCGAGGATTTTATGGATAGGTGCTATTGCACTGGAGAATTTTGTTTGAGTGACACAACGGTGCAGTGATGAAGAGGTTCGGGAAAAATCAATATTGCTTTGTGTGCTTAGAGCCTGGCTTCTTCGAAATGAAAGAAATTTACCCCAGCTCGCCTTCTGATTGTTTCTTATTCAGGCAATCGGAAGTTGTCCTGCGAATTCGGCAACGTGCTACAATCCATTTTAGTGGGATACAGTGTGACACGATAGCAGGATCAATATGGAGCAAAAGGCGCAATTCTACGTTGGAGCATCCGCTTCTGCTTACAAGATGATGGTAATCTGTGCCTGCTTCTACTGAGTGTATGACGGCAGTAATCACAGGGAAGACGCGAATACATGGAAGATGATTTCTCTATACTCGTCGACAAGGGTGCCGGTGCAGAGGGTGAAATTCCTGCATTGTTTGGAGTATTTGATGGACATGGTGGCTCCCGGTACGATCGAATTTTGATCGTGATGAGGGGAGCAGGGTTGAAGCAACTGATACCTTCCTTTAGAGCCAGTGAATATTGCAAGGAAAACTTACTTGCACGAGTCTCACAGGTTCATTTTCTTTGATTTTCCTGATTCAATCATGACACATTAGATACAGCTGATTGTTGGGAGAAACGATATCAACAGCTCATCGGTTGACTCCCATGCTTTATCTTCAGGAGATAATTTTAAGCAAATAGGCTGTCGAGAATGTAAATGCAACTGGAACAGAAGAGGAAAATTCATGGAAAGCGGAAGAGAGCAAAGATGGACCTCTTCCAGAAGAACAGCAAAGTCAAAAGCCACGAGTCATTTCGAGATTATGGATGAAGCGAGCGCTGGATTTCGGTTCTTTTATAAGAAGAAGTTTACCCACAGAAACTCACAGCAACAAAAGGTTTCTCCAGCATCGACCAAGAACTTCATCATGAAGTGTGCATCTGCGGTGAATAAGTGATTTCTTTACCTTGGATCGATGTGAGTTCACTGCAGGAACTACGGCGATAGTCGCTGCTGTCACTAGCAGGTCTGAGAGAAAGTGGTCAAGCAGTTGCGCAACATGATATCAACTCGATAGGTACCTCATGGTAGCGAATGTCGGAGACTCGCGAGGAGTGCTTTGTCAAGACGGAAGGTCAGAAATGGCATTGGCAAAAGTTGTTATGCCGTCATAACCTTGGGTTGTGGCAGAGCTGTACCTATGTCGGACGACCACAAACCGAAGTGAGAATGATAGTTGCTTGGGATGTGCACTTACAGTCACGGAACATTACAGTCGACCAGATGAGCGGAGAAGAATCGAGTTAGCTGGAGGTATGGTAGTGACCGTTGGGGTCGCTCGTGTTGGAGGTAGAACCAATCGTGTGATAGGATTGGATTGACGTTGCACAGGCATCCTTGCTGTGTCAAGAGCAATCGGTGATAGTCCACTGAAGCAATTCGTACCTGCGACGCCGGAGTACAAAGTCATCAGAAGGTACCTCCTGTCTATCACTCGCTTGTGAGCTCAAGCATCTCCCAAGGGATCCTTCTCAGAAGTTCATCATCCTCGCTACCGACGGCCTGTGGGACGTGGTCTCCAACCAGGAGGTCACTTTTATGCTGCTTGGCTGTCCCCTCAGCGTTGATGTAGGCGGTGGATTTCATCTCGGAGAGATGGAATTGCAAAGGTCATGGAGCCGCAGAGCTGGCGTGGATGGCATTCCACAGGTCCGCTGGTTGTCATCGCCTTGGCGTTTGTCACCTCCGTTTGCAGAGGATCGTGGGACAACATCTGTGCCATGGTAATCGATCTGCATGACACCAAGGTAAGAGATTGCTGGAGCTGCGGCAGGCGTTTTGACCGGCTCGCAGGATCTTCCTCCTATCAGGAACCCCTCGGATGACTCGGAGATCAGCGAGGTACAACGAGCGATGAAGCTGTAAAGTCTTCTAGGGACTGACTGTCCTGAAGGACATCAAGACCAATGAGTGCGAACCCAGGAGCTCGACAGGTTCCCCACCGCTCTTCTGACTTGCCTCCCCTGCTGCCCCCCTTGCGACTTATTACCTCCCGTGGTTTGACTTGACTCTTCAGAATCAGAGTACATGAGCACGAGCACTGAGCTTCAGGTTTGTGCAAGAGACATCACTTAGTGCCGCTGACTTGTCCTGAGCAGCGAGAAGCGGCAGAGGAGGAGGAAGTGAACCAGATCATCGATGAGTGAGACGATTGTCAGCCAGGACGAGCTCACCATTCGCTACGAAGAACACCGTCATCATCGTCTATCAAGAACACCGTCATCATCGTCTATCAAGAACACCGTCATCATCGTCTATCAAGAACACCGTCATCATCGTCTTTGTGTTATTGTTTGAATTGCATATAAATGAAACATGCCAGTTTGTCCAAAATCGTCGTGAACTCATCTTCTGCTTCTCTTTTGACCTCTGCTGTGCCGCGCCATCCCATTCCATTACCCCGCAGGATCTGACGAGAGGAGGGGATGGACCAGACCAGAGAAGAGAAGAGCAGAGCAGAGCAGAGAAGATAAGTGCAGAGAAGAGCAGAGCAGAGAACAGCAGAGCAGAGCAGAGAACAGCAGAGCAGAGCAGAGCAGAGCAGAGCAAAGCAGAGAACAGCAGAGAACAGCAGAGCAGAGCAGAGAAGAGCAAAGCAGAGCAGAGCAGAGCAGAGCAGAGCAGAGCAGAGCAGAGCAGAGCAGAGAAGAGCAGAGCAGAGAAGAGCAAAGCAGAGAACAGCAGAGCAGAGCAGAGAAGAGCAGAGCAGAGAAGAGAAGAGCAGAGCAGAGCAGAGAAGAGCAGAGCAGAGCAGAGCAGAGCAGAGCAGAGCAGAGCAGAGAAGAGAAGAGAAGAGAAGAGAAGAGCAGAGCAGAGCACAGCAGAGCAGAGCAGAGAACAGCAGAGAACAGCAGAGAACAGCAGAGAACAGCAGAGAACAGCAGAGAACAGCAGAGCAGAGCAGAGCAGAGCAGAACAGGGGGATATAAAGGCTGGGGGAGCATAGGGAAACAAGGAGAGGGACAACGTGGCCGAGCGGTTAAGGCGATGGACTGCTAATCCATTAGGGTCTCCCTGCGTGGGTTCGAATCCCATCGTTGTCGTCAAACGACAAACCTTCCCTCCTCTTTTTTACCTTCCATCCCGCCAGTCTCTCAGTCCGAGTGCTGCCGCCCTGCCGCGGCCAACTTGGCCGCCCGGCGGGCCCGCGCCCCGGCCCGCGGTCACCGGTCGGGTGACGGTCTCTCACTCGGAAGGCTGCGCGGCAACTTTTTCGGAGCCTCGGAGTTGTCTGCGAACTCACTGCTGAGACACGCACTGGCGCGGCGCCGCGGCGGGCGGCCCGGCCCGCCGGATATTGGCAGGGCCGGGGAGGTAAAAATTGCCTCAAGCAGAACTTCCGAAAGAAAGCAGCAACAAGCCGGCAAGACCGTCAGGCATAGAGCCGCTCACTGGCACCCGGTACAGCAACACACTGCTCCTCCATATCGCAGACCTTTTCCCCTCCGAGTCTGAGTCCGCCGAGTCTTGGCCTACGCTGCGAGAGATCAGGGTGTTGATGCCAGGAGGGGATGTAAACTTTCGACTCGCGAGGTTGAATCTCTAGCTTCAGATCAGCCAACATGTACTTCTTCATAGCGGACGTAGCTGCAACGGCATCCTCGAGTGGACCGACAAGCACGACGTTGTCAGCATAGGCCAAGACTCGAACAGAGGGAAAAAGCTCTGCGATATGGAGGAGCAGGGGGTGGATACTGTGGCAGAAAAATACCGTCTGGAGGGGACATCGCCCTGACAGACGCCCGAGGTACACTGAACGGAGGCTGACTGACTTTGCCTTTGTGAAAGAGTCGAAGGTCAGCAGAGTCTCCATAGTAGCTAGAGATGGATTTACTGGCAGAAGCTGGAGAGGCTACGGAGAGGTAGGAGGCGAACAAACGGAGATGCTCGCAAGAGGGCAAGCTTGCGCCTTCAGTCATGCCGTTCACTTTCAGGCCTTTCGTTAATTTGGCACTTAAATTTTTCGGTAGGGTCTTTTTTTTTAGTAGGCGTGCTTTTTTGATAAACGAGTTAGAGACCCCACTTCATAGTACCCAAGAGTTTTAGTTTATTTCAACAATCCTCTTTACAAGTTATTTTAACGGTAGTTACAGTACGGTACCGACACATACCCTATGGTACTACTTTCAGTACCAGTTGCAATCCTCCTTGCCTTGACGGACCGTTGAATGGCGGCGGGCGCAATCGGGGCGGCCACCGTCGTCAAGGGCTGCCTCATCCCTCGGCATTGCCAAAAGGAGGAGATTGGAGCAAGAGAACAAGGTGATCCTCTTCATTCGCATGAGATACATCAAAGAGGCACCGTTGTTCCTTGCAGCAAATGCCTTCGATCATTCTGTGCACTTTGAATTACTACACCACGTTGAAGGTTTAGACATGTCCGATTCAATCTGGTACCATGTCATGGTGAAATTTCGAAGTGGAATCATCCGAAATTGGAAAGGAAGAATGTCAACTTCTTTAACACTAGAAAACAAACTAATTTCTTCCGTCTCAACATCGATCTGCACAAGAGTAGGACTACGGTAGTATAGTCAACTGCTTCTTGAAACCCCGGATGAAAAGGTCAGTGCAGTTGGACCATCAGTACATCACTCTTACAGAACAGAGAATTTCCTGTGCCTTTCAAGGATGAACCCTACATGTTAGAACCAACAGGCTGGATCAGGTTCGTTATATTTCGAGGGCGCACTGACAGTCACCTTGAAACGAAATTAGAGGACGCAATACACATGCATCTCTTTCAAGTTCGAAAGAATGGTACGATTGTGCACGTTTCACACAGAGATTTAGAGGCATCCAGATTGAACGCGACTTTACTCAGACATTAATTTACTTTGAAGGAGCTGCCACAACAACTGAGTGAAGTGTGCTCGAACCGAATTGTTGAATTTCTTCTTGTCATCTGCATTGCGTGAAGGTCCATGACTACCGCATGGACAGTGCATATCCCACACATGGTCAAGTTGCCCGTTAGATGCAGTAGCAGTTTTCTACTTCTCCGAGTCCAATGTAGCTATTCTCGATCATGGCAGCAGCTCGATATGCATCTCAGAGTCTCTTCCCTGAAGTTGATGTCGGTGCTCGATGCACGACATGTTGTTCAATAGTCAGGCTAGTTGAATGCCATATTTCTCGTAGAAATGTACCCACATGCCCAGGCTGACAACATCATGCTGTGCAAATAGAAAGACTGCAGCAGTCTCTTTTCGAGGCAGGGCGTCTTTCGCCGCCTGCTGCGGGAGCAGCCGTCCCGTCTCCTGCAGACCCTCCCGGTATCTGCAGGCATCGATGACAACAAGGAAACAGACTGAGAGTCACAGTGTAGTCCTCTACCTCCTCCTCTGTCTCCATCGTCCCTACCTCACAGGGGATCAGGTCGTCTTCTTTGGCCCTTCCTGCCTTCATCCCATGGCCAGCGTAGAAGAGGACGACTAGCCTCCTCAGCTCTTGGTGCCAGCCTAGTCGCATCCCTGATGCAAGGTGAGGATATCACGCTGCTGATCGGTCAGCGCAGCGCGAGCATGCACATGGCGAGGGAAGACGCGCATGACAAGAGGGGTCACATTTCGCTGCGCAGGCGGAGGAATGAAGTGCTCATGAGACGAGTCGACGAGAGCGCGCAAACCAGGGATGTGTACCACAGATGCCGGGGGGCGTCCTGCGTCATCAGGCACAGCAGCCGGGGCAGGTGGGATCGCCGCGCCATCTGCAGCCGGTGCAGGAGCCTTGACACGACGGTAGAGGATCGCTCCAGCATTATGAACGAAGTCGTGCGCCTCAACGAAGAAGGTCGCCAGAGGATGCTTCTGGGCACGGAGAGATCTCGAGCAGTGAACGTCCAGGCTATGAGGAGAGGGCAGCGTCCGTGACATTGGCTGGTCAGAGTACCAAGCGAGGAAGCGAGCGATAGCCGTATAGTAAACAGCGGGGTGTAGACCCTCAGAGGGCGTGAACTCGTCCCCTCCCCGACTATGCGGAAGCTCCCGCTTGAACCTCGCAAACTCTAGCAGGTCGGGATGCGCGGCGAGGTACTGCGAGGAAGGCCAGCGGTGGTATTTCTCAAGCGCCAGGTGGACAGAGAGGTCAAAGCGACGAATCTGTGATTGGACCCGCGGGAGAAACGGAGATGACCCCTGGAGGAAGAAGCGCAGCTTCTGGAGATGGCTCGCCCTCACCAGCGTCTTGAACATGAAGCCATGCTGGACGAGCCCGAACTTTGAGAGCTCTTCGTTGAGGGTAGAAACCTTCGCTCGGAGCTGACTAGCATGAAATCCATCCGTGCCGATAGGCAGGCCGCCAAGTGTAATCCCGCCAGTGACGACCTCGAAGTGAAGAAGTTGAGTCTTGAGACGGCGCTTAAGGCTCTTCTTCAGCTGCGAGAGATCAGGGTGTTGATGCCAGGAGGGGATGTAAACTTTCGACTCGCGAGGTTGAATCTCTAGCTTCAGATCAGCCAACATGTACTTCTTCATAGCGGACGTAGCTGCAACGGCATCCTCGAGTGGACCGACAAGCACGACGTTGTCAGCATAGGCCAAGACTCGAACAGAGGGAAAAAGCTCTGCGATATGGAGGAGCAGGGGGTGGATACTGTGGCAGAAAAACACGCTGGAGGGGACATCGCCCTGACAGACGCCCGAGGTACACTGAACGGAGGCTGACTGACTTTTGTGAAAGAGTCGAAGGTCAGCAGAGTCTCCATAGTAGCTGGAGAGGTAGGAGGC